GAAAATATTCAACACATGAGGGCCTCATCGTCTGCATGTAGCATCATGGCTTGCTTATAATGACAGATGTGATTAGTGGGGTCCGATTTTCCGTCATATAAGGTGAACGATAGAGCTTTGAACTTTTTGGGTAGCACTGCCCTTGCAATCCGTCACACAAATGGGTCATGTTGATCCTCTTCGTCTGAATCATTTCTTCTTTGCTTATTCCGTGCATGCGGACTCCCTTCGGAAGAACTGGAGACTTTGACTCGTCCCTTCTTTTTGGGTTCTGGGAATGATGAGTCAGAATCACTGCCACTGTCTTGTCTCCGAATTCGAGGTCGTCGACTATCCTTTCTCATAGGTCGTCCTGGATCTTGGCATACGGCCTATTGGGATTTTGCCACCTCCAAGGCCAAATCCTGTCGAAGGCGCTCGTTCTCAGCCATCATGTTTTCCAACCTCTCTCTGTTTTGCTTCGCTTGATCCATAATCGCTTGCATTGTCTCATGTGCCAATGTCGAGGGTGAAGTCTGGGCAACTGAGTTGAAATTCAAGGCCCTTCGTGTGGCAATGGTCTCGGGCCCAAGCATGTTGCTCGGAGTGGTATCATCTCATGGTGTAAGGTCGTCAGCGACTATCGGAGGATCTTCCGTTACGCCCGCCATGGATGTGCTGGAATATTCCCACAGACGGCTCCAATTGTGGAGAAGTGGTTTAGAAATACTCTTTGGATCCAATAGGACGCTCATGATCTGTAGCGACCTTGATTTTTTCGTAAACCTTTATTTATTTATTTATTTATTTATTATTATTATTAGTATTATTATCTTATTTTATTTTTGGATTTATTAATTGTGTGATTACATGAGAATTTAATGTGGTGTTTAATTAGTTTAATGTGGTATTTAATTATATATAATTAATCAGAATATTTATATTTATATATTTATATATACATAAAAAAAAAGAGGGTGTTACATGTAGTGCTTTTATAAAATATATTTATATATGTTGTAGTTATTTAATAACATAAAATATATATCATATTTATTTAGGTTGTATTTATATTGTATTTGTATTATATAATATAATAGTCATTAGGTTATATAATAATATATAATAGTCAAATTGGATTGGAATAGGGATTAGGTTTAGAAGTTAGAGGAAAGAAAACAAAACCAAAAATAGTGGTGCTGCGTGCGGCTGTGCAAGCCGAGAGAGAGTAATCAAGAAAAAAGAGAGAGGAGAGGGAAGAAAAAGAAAAGATTAGGGTTTTGTTTTGGTGACTCTATTAATTCCTCTAAATATTTCTTTGATCTTCAAAAAATATAGTGAGTACAAAACTCATTTCCCTTGATTTATGTTTAATTCGTTGTTTTTATTTACTTGATGTTAGTTTGATTTTGTATTTACCTAAAAATGACAAATTGATTTTAATTATTTTGATTAGTGGTGTATGTAAAGTTTAGAGTTTTTAGATGATTGACTGATTGATTTTAATTATTTTGATTAGTTGTGTATGTAAAGTTTAGGGTTTTTAGATGATTGATTGATTTTAATTATTTTGATTAGTTGTGTATGTAAGGTTTAGGGTTTTTAGATGATTGATTGATTGATTGATTTTAATTATTTTGATTAGTTGTGTATGTCAGGTTTTGGATTTTTTTTATGTATTTATTTTATGGTTGTAATCACACTCATGGATATATAAATTAAAATAAATTAGGAATTCATAGATAAATTTCTTACACTCCAACATGACTCCATGGATTGTTATTTTATTTGAGTGTTGGTGAGAAAGAGTGTAAAGAGTGTATAAAAAAGTGAGATTATGAGATTTATTTGAATGCCTTAGGCTTGGCATTGTTATATTTGTTCTCATGAGCGAGATGTTTTGTATATATATATATATATTGTTGCCTCGTTCTCATGAGTAGACGAGTGCTTTGATTTACGCGCGTACGTATATGTTAACCATTCGGGGAGTGTGAGTCAAATTCGGGACGATATCCCCATGCAAGTTTGGCTTCGAAGTGGTGTTAGGTATACGGGAGGCACATGGGATATATGTGTAGGTCGGAAGTGGAGGCCGAAGTGGTGGAGTTAAGGTACAAAGAATTTAATTACGAGTTTATTGGTATAGTATGAATTGTGTTGGTTTGTATATCCTGAAAAATAGTAAACGACCTCGATAAATTATGAAATTTGAGAAAATGCATGTATACGTGATTCTAGACAACTTTTGTATTTTAACTTTTTATTAAAAAGATCGATTAGAACCTATAATCGGATGATCTTAGATATTATAGTTTTGATTCATTTTAGCAATGTCGATTTTAGAGGCTGTTTTAACCTACGAAACGAGTTTATTTTTATTTGTTTCGTGAAAGTTGAAGTAAAACATTATTCTGAACATTTTTCGTGTTTTGAGCTTTTCTGAAAAAATTAATCTTACGGCAGTTTCTTTTCGTTTCAGCTTCAGATTTTTCGGTTGAATTCTGTCTAGGTTTTTCTATCAAGCTTTTCTCTCAACCTACTCAGTTTATGTTAAATTCGTCCGCGCTATTTTTTAGGAATTTTGATTCTGTACAACTTTCATTTTTTGAGTTTTGGTCAATTCGAATTATTTAAACATGAAACGGTGTATTTTTTATACTTCTTTAGCAAGTTACTTATGATTAAATTATACTAACTTTATTTTTTTGCAGGATGGTGGGTCTTACTAACTTTTTTATGCAGAGCTGACCCACCATATTTTTATTTCTATTTTGTTTACTTTATAATCAATTTATATTTCGTTGTGTACGGGCAAGAAACTAAATGTCACCGTATCTCGAGAAACTATCCATTCGTCTCGATGTAGATGGAACTACTTGTCTTATCACGTAACAAGAATTAAATGTATTTTTGTTTGTGTCTGGTGGGCATGTGGGAGTTAAATTTTGTACTCATACTAGTATACCTATATACTAACACGTTTTGTCTTTTGGCAACTCGGGTGCGTTCTGTTTGAGTGAAGTCGAGCTTCCTTTGCAGGATTAGTTGGGGCTACGGTGGTGATGTGGAATTATTATAGTGTTGGACTTGTCGTTTGGATTTCGTTTGTTTTCTTGAGGTTAGGGTTGATATTAGTTTATGTATTTATTTATTTTTTTTTATGACTTTAGTATTGGGATAATTTGGCATGGTTTGTAACCGTACACTGTTTAAGTTATTTTGGCTATTTATTGTTACTTTAATGTTGGAGGTATTGGTTAGTTATGAAATTATGGTGGATGGTTTGGTTGGCGCCTAGTTTTTTTTGTTTCAACCCTAGGATTTGGATGATGAAATATTGATTGGGGCTTAGCCCTAATTTAATATTTAATTGTCCGAATTTTGAGGCGTGACATGATCCTCAGTGTATACTCTCTTGGTTGGGAGTGCCGGAATTAGCACTCCAACGGATAACTCAGTGTATACTCTCTTGGTTGCTTATATCTTAAATTTTACATACTTGTTCTCACATGTCCCCCTCTTATCTGATGTTGTTCCTATTTATAGTCGTCCTTGATGTTGATGGTTGGGCCCACCTGTCATCAAATGAATAGTGCCTCATTCGGCTAACTGTTCGTACTCAGCCCGGTCTACAACTGATTCTTCGGTCGATCCGCTTATTCGGCTCCATCCCTTCGGGATAGAGTCGTGTAGTGCATAACTTGGTTTCTTTTCTCAAGCTGCTCGACCTCTGTGCGTAATAGTTTTATTCGGCCCCCACAATTTCCATATAAAAATTCATTCCAAATTTGATTATCATATGTTATGTATCTTATCTTTCTAAAAAAATAAATAAATAAAAATAAAAATAAAAATAAAGAAGAAGAAGAAGAAGAAGAAGAAGAAGAAGAAGAAGAAAACATAATAGAAATAAGGGTATAACCGTATATTCAATTTTTAAATAATACATTAAATCTATCTTTCTAAAATTAATGGAACTAATTGGTCTATAAGAAAACTCTTGGAACTAATCGGATTATCATTCCTCAAGATAAGATTTATAGGTAAATTTCCCAATAATTATGTTATGTTAAATATATATATATATATATATATATTAATGGTGCTCAATCTATATATAAACCTATCACTACAACATATAAGAGTTTTAGAAGCTAAATTTTTTTGCCTCTAAAAGTGAAAATTTTGTTGCAAAATACATTTAGGAACTAATTTCTATCGTCGTGAGGATAGTCTTAAAAGGTCGTCCTGAAAAGTCTAAAACAAGGCTTTTAGAGACAAAATTTTGAAAATGTCACTAACAAATAGACTTTTATGGACAAAATAATTTGGTTTCAAAATGATTTATTTTTTAAGACAAGAAATTTGGTCTCAAAAGGATAATAATTCATCACTAATGTCCAAATTCCGTTACTAAAAATATAATGACACTTTTCACAACAAAAATGTTTGGTCCCTAAAAAATAATTTTGTCCTTAAATTTTGGTCTCTAAAATCTTAAATTTTTGTAATGCATGGTTTTCTAAAGAGACGTGAACATTGAGAGATTGGGAAAAAAATATTATTTGATAGAAGAAACGTGATTTCAAAAATGAGAGACTTTAGAAAGTTCTCGATATGTCTGTGAACAATATGAGTTTTATCTTACAACTTCTTCACTTTGATTGTACTTTTATAAGGAGAAGAAAAGCAATTTTAGAACAGTGAAAATCTCACAAATATTTTTCTCTACTCTTGTTTTGTTTATTTATATTAATTATTTAGTATCACTGTTATGATATTATTTGTGCTAATTATTTCAGATTATTGTTTTGCTAGACTAACAATTTTACAAAAAAAACCTTGGGTAGCTAGCAGTTTCATTTCCCATCTTGTGTCCCATTGTAGCGAATTGAACCTAACATTATTCTATGTCAAACACAAAACATCTTTTTCTTTTCAATTGGTAGGAGATAATTTACTAATATAATGAGATTTATTTTAAATTGAACATTCAATTATGTAAAAAAGTCCCACAATACATTTATAGCATTTCACAAATCCAACAATTACACAACAAAAACCCACTCACACAAGTGAGGAGAGCACAACCCTAACCCCCTGGTAAGACACAAGGCCTTGGCTAACTGAATAGCCCCATTGTTTCAAATACAACAAAAATACTATAATCAATATCATGAGGGGAAAAAAAAAAGAAAAAAAAAAAAACGGATTTGTTTCACTAACTTGGAGAGGATCATTACAATATAGAAGATCGCTCAGTATATAGCTTATCAGGCCAAACCAAAGTTTTGTCTTTCTCCTTCTTATTCTCTTTTTATTTATTCTTTATTCTTTTGCTTCTTTTTTTTTTCCCCCTGTTGTTTCTCAATAATGTTATGCCTGCTAAGTTAGTAGAAACTTGGATAGTGTCATAAGAGCAAGAAGCTTGGATTATGGAATGTTCCTGTTGGACAGTTGAACCTCAGAAGACTCCAATGGACCATCATCGTCCCAATTGGTCGTTTTGTAGTAAGTTGCGTACAATATGAGTTGAATGGCTCCTGATAGCGCTCCCAAACCATTGGGAATCTATGCACACACACACACACAAAAACAAAAACAAAAACATGGCAAAAAAAGATAGGTAGATTAAGGCCAGGTTTGGCAACTTACAAAAAAACCAAAAAGTTAAAAAGTTACTATCATATTTAAGTCACATCATCTTATTTAAGTCACATCACCTCTCTAAAACATCACTTCAAACCCAACCCATATTTTATAAAAAGTCAAAAAGTACACTTATTTAGAACATCCGAAACAACCCCTTGGAACAGCAGACTGAGCATGCTAGCAATAATCAAACATAAATTATAACTAGTTATTAAAATAAAATGCTACTTTTTTTTTGATCGGCAAATAAATCTTTATTGATGACGCATACAAAGTATGATTGGATACATCAATAAAGAGGAGCTTAGAGCTAACACGAAAATGCTACTTATAAATGGTTTTCACCTTCTTCTTTTTTCCCCTTCAAATAATCGACTTTTTTTGTTCCTCAAAAACCATTTATAATTGAAAATGGTAACTAGGGAAAACAAATTTAAGCATTTCATCATGTTGTGTTTGATGACTAGAGATGAACTCATATATTTGTTTATGATCTGGATTTTCTCAATAACCAAACAGAACATCAAAGAAAAATTTATGAGACGTCAAATATTCAATAGGTAGCATATCACCAAATAATTTATAGGATTGACTTCAATAAAATAAAATAAAAAAATAAAAAGGATAATTAATAATTAAGTTCATGAAATGTATCTTACCGTGATGTAGGGATCGAACTTGAGGAGTGCATAGATTAACCAAACTAGACCATTGCAAAAGTTAGCTAATGACAAGTAAAATGGCATGAATTTCACACTCTTCGTCTTGATGACTGAACGCTACAAAAAAAATAAAATAAAAAGAAAAAAAATACATTATCCCTCAATAAATAGTAGATTAATAGGAGATGTGTCCAACTTCTCTCTAGTTGGGAGAGACACATATTATTGGGCCTTTGTGGGCACATTACGGAGCCCACTATAATAATTTACTTCATTTGTTTTTAGGCCAATGTGGATGGATTATTTATACCAAAAAAAAAAATTTAATCAGGCTTATTTGATAATTATAACCGTAAAATTTTGTCTATTTTAAATATCATATTTATTGTCTAATTTTTTTAAGATAAATGTGATAAAATTGTACTGCTATGATTCTAAGTCAATTATGATTTTTTTTTTCCTTTTTTTTTTTTCATATCCGCATATAGGAACTTAAAAATTAAAGTAGCATCAAAATGACAAAGACCCTCTAGCATGGCCCAGACTCCTCGACATGTAAATCTGTGTATCGATATGCTCTTTCTTTTTACAATAATGTCATACTTACCACCTTTCTTACACCACCTACCACCTTCTTTTTAATCACTTTTTTTCTTTTTCTTTTTTTGACAAATCTTTCTTAGATATTTTTCCCAAAAAAAAAAAATTAAAAAAAAAAATAGTTAAGTTCTTTTACACTAACAGGCCCTACTAAAAATAAATAAATAAATAAAAATTAGACCAAATTTAAGAAAATCTACTAAGAAAAGTTGAAAAACCTAAGAAAATTGATTTTTTTTCCTTCTCAACTTTTTAAAACTTAGACCAAATTTAATTGATTTTTATGATTATCTAGTCTAGGACTTAAAAAATAAAATTCTAACAATTTTTTTTATAATGAAATACAAAAAGTCAATAAAAACTAGTTAAAAAAAATTACCAAACCATAGAATAAGAGGAAAGACATGCACTTACCATGACCGTCAATGGTGAGGTGTACATAATTATATTGAAGACAATACACAATAAGCCAACGAGCGTCGATCTTGCCTTTGTAGTATGCAAAAATGTCATGGTAATGAAGACTACAATGGCCATGAAGATTACTTCAACCAAAAGAGCAATAAGAATCTTCTTCTGAATACAGTTACATGCATTAACAAACAAAACGCAAAAGCATGTCAAATTGACAACAAAAATAAAATAAAAAATAAAAAAAGAAGAAGAAGAGGAGGAGGAAGAGGGAGAAGGAATAAATTGCAGTAGTAATTCTGATTTCATGTGTGGTTTAATTTTATATTTTGTGCCAAGTTAATTCATTAACAACGTCTATCAAAATTCAATTTTGAAAACTCCACGACCCCTTTGGATCTCAACTGTAAACCCCACATATACATGAATGGATCCTACACATATATCAATGATTGAGATCCAAAAATAGTTATCGAGTCAACAAAAAAAGAGAGTCCAAAGCAATTTTCATCAAGATATTCAACTGAAAATTACCACATACTCTTATTCAGGTGCCCATTGTTGTATGGACAACGTGAAAAAATTGACAAATACCATTTTTGGTCAAAAGAATTGATAGACATTGTTATTAATTGGACCAGTTAGACACAAAATATAAAATTAAATGATAAAATTGTCATTATTAGAATTGTAGAGACTAAATTAACACTGCATTACGTACACGCTTTGGCCAATTAGAATATGTTAAAAAGATGAGAACGTAGACAATCTCGATTAACAAACCGACACCATTGATTGTGACTACAAGAATGCTATCCGGATGGACGACGGGGAGACCATAGAAAATCCACATTGCACAATTCAGCACAGTTGCAACGTACGGATATGGCTTGAACTCTTGCACTGATTTTGATTTACATATTTTGAATAATGTTGGCCTGCAAATTCATATTTTATGTTATTGAGAATATTATTAACAAACAACTTATTTTTTGTTATTTTAGAATTTGCTTTCTAATTTTTTTGAAAAAATTAAAAATTAATTCACTGATGATAATAATAATAATAAACTCATCATTTTCATATAATTTAATATATTTTAGAAGAAGAAAAAAATTTAAAAGTTCAAAATTATTGTATGTTTTAAACGTTTTACGGCATGGGATCTTTTATCCTAAATTTTTCGTCTTCTTGTTTTAAGTGAGAGAGAGAGAGAGAGAGCTTACACTGGGGAGAGAAAGAGGAAGAGAGAAATGACATTTCCTGCAAGGACAGAGGATCAAAAGTATTAAATTAACAGCACTGATTTAGTGCTCTAAAATGGTAGTATTAACGCCAGCTTTAATAAGCTGGCAGTGCAAGAAGAAAAAAAAAAAAATCAAATTATCACATCAAGGGTGAGGTCCACGTGGTGCTACATTATTAGTGGTATATTAGTGGTGTTGAATTAGTGATCTGAAATATTTTTCTTAAATTAAATACAACTGCATCATTGTCAACTCAAACTATACTTCACTTTAATTAGTTATCTAAATTTAGAAACGAAAAAAGTATTCAGCAAAAATATTAAATTAAATATGCTAAAATAAACTAAGGTAAATTGCACCTTACTCTTTTTAAAATATCACTTCACTCCATTCAGTTGAACAGCGCTACATTTTATTACTTAAAATTATTTTTCAATTTGTGTTAATGCAAATCTTTCAAAAAGGTAAAATGAGAAAATATTGATAAAAATAATTTAATCATATACAATGAAGATTGATAAGCACTCTAGTTAGAAAGAGTGATAATAATAGGGAATGAGAGAGATCAAATTTAACTTGGATTGAAATGAGATTATGACTCTTGATCAAACCAAAACAAAAATGGCTAAATATGATTCAGGTTACGGACTTAATTAATTAGGAGATGGTTTAGTTGAATTTAGTTTGTTGATAGATCAAGTTTGCTGGCAACAATTGAATCTTGTTTATATTTTATTTTCCCTCAATGAATTAGGGATCCAAACACAAACAACCCACTTTGATACTATAAAAAATAGATTTAGAATGGGAGCTTTATTAAATTAATGGATTATTATAAAAGATTTTTTTCACATTTTACATGTGCTCTAATTCATATATTTGACTTCCTAATTTACACCAAATATCATTTAATTTATCTAAATTACACTCATGTTTCAAATTTTCAATCCTATTTTAATCTTCTGCACTAAATAGTTGATAAGAACAAAAAATAGAAAATAAAGTTGGCAAAACAAAATAACGGATTAGTAAATCATAAAACATAATAAGTATTGTTATTTATGCTTAAAAGTTAAACTTATTTTTTAAATAAAGTGATATGTCAAGAAAATAATTGATTGATAATTAAATATTATCTAATTATTACTCAAACATCTTTTTGACATATTACTGAGTCTAGAATGTGGACTTTTACATCATTTTTTAGACATAATTAAATTTTTATATAATATGGATAAAAATAATTAATGAATGACAAAGATGAAGTAATAGGACAATGTGACGAGTGCTTGCATACCGATCACTCCAACGATCGTTCGTATTCCATCTGTACCAACCATCTTCGAATTTGAGCTGAGAAGTAGAAACTAAGAAGAGGAGAAAAGAGTAGAATATCAAATGTAGATGTAATACTAAACACAGATCATTCAAGAGTTTTGTTATCTAAAAAGGCCTTGATGATCTATTTGGTTTTTGAAGCCTGATTTATAAATATAGTGATAGTTCAAGTAACTGTCTATATTTGGAGATTGTCCGAAATTACTAATCAAACATGGACAAGCGCAAAAGGCTGGTCATTGACTCTCCTCACCTCCGTGTACGTGTATGCAAATATAATTCACATCGACAGCAATTATCTCAGTAAAGTTTACTCAGACATGTTTAAACCTTTATTCTCGTTCTGTCTCTCACTAATAACCAACCTTTTTTTTTGGGGGGGGCGGGGGGGAGGGGGGGAAAGTCATGAATAGATTTAATAACCAATGTGCTTATGTGTAAGATGCTCTTGCTTTTTTCTCTCATCTAAATTAATATCTTAGCTATCATAAATTTTTTTGAGTTGAAGGAATTCGGTTTATGCTTGGTTGTGATCTTGAAATTGATGTGTTAGTGATTGTTGGTATGGTGGTGGCTAGTAGCAAGAAATCCCTATGGGGGCCTCTCACTCTCCCGCCCTTGCTTCTTTGTGCAACAATGGGTGGTGATGGATGTCAAGGTGGTGGTGGTGGTGGTGGTGGTGGTGGGATGATGGTGGTACTCATTCTCAATTTGTAGAATAGAAAAATAGCATTATTTTAGTGGTTTTACAACCATGCAGGCAAAGCTGTTCGATTTTCTTTGAAGGCTCCTAAAGCTATAGAACCTAAGGTCATAGTAACAGCATGTAGTATGGAAAGTATTGTTGAATATATGATATGGTTGTTGGATTTATTTTCTAGTGTGGCAAATAGTCTATATATATCTACATATTTTAATTTATTTGGACTCTATAATTAAATAAAACTAATATTTGATATAAAGTTTAGTAATTAGAATTTTAATATAATTACTCTTCTAAGATAAGAAGGAAACCTTGATGGATAGGAATTCTTCTGAGAGAGTTTATCTGACATTCTTATCTCCTCTATATAAGGATGGGTGACTCCCCTTTCATATCATGAGTATTTTTCCATCACTCTAAGTTTTATAGTCATCCTAATTAAGAGAGACAGAGAGAAGAAGGTGAGCCAAGACTTAAAGGTATTAGAGGTATTTTCTCAACTTTTCTAATTCAATGGCTGACAAATGTATATTCGTTTTATTCTTGAGTTATATTGAATTCAAGATCCTGTAAAGTTTAATTTCGCATTATTATTATGGTTACATGTATTATTAAATCTTACATGTGGTATCAGAGCTTTCGTTTTGTGAATCAATACACCTTGGAATAATAATATATTTATTACACTATTTTTAATAAATGGTACTTTCGTTTTATTATCGGTATTCGCTTTAAAATATTATCTCAATTTGTTTGAATTGATCAAACGTGTAATACACCTTTTGATTTTGTTATGCTATTAACATGCTATTCATATCCCTTTACAATAAGTAATATGCATACTCCGGTTTATTGCATGCTTCGATTTATTATTTTATAATCATTATAATATTAGTGAAAAATATTACTTCCTCCTGTATGCCATAGAATTGAATGATTATAAAATTATTATTTAAATAATCAGTTGGGACATAGATTAAAAGCCGTTTGTTGAATCATTCGGTCTATTAAAGAACTATGATTTTACCTCATCTGATTATATACACTTATTGTTGATATTTATATGTTTTCATGATTTAAATTTGATATCATGATATAATTTTATGACATTGAATATTAAATATTTGAGTGGTTAATTCATATTAGGTGTAATTCTTATTGACCATTATATGAGATATTCATGATTGTTATATTATATAATTTGATATATAAATATTCTTGTTCGTCCAGAGTTATTATTATTATTATTATTATTATTATTATTATTATTATTGTTGTTGTTGTTGTTGTTGTTGTTGTTATTTGTAGACACCCCATTTTTTACCGACCTTAAGACTCAGACGTCACCGATTGAGCGCTCAGTGATGATGCATATAGTGCTCGTTCGGAGGATTCAGAGTCTCGGCTGCGAGCCTTACCTCCGGACTTCGGGGCTCTTTTGTGCTTTGCCAATTTTTTCTGTTTTCTCTGTTTTCTCTTCTCGAAGGGAGGGAGAGGTCTCGTAGACTATCTCTCAGTGGCCGTAGGTTACGTTTCGTGGTCGTAGGCTATTTTTCCCGTTTGGACACCAGTTTTCGATTTTCGAAGTCGTCAACCGTGTGCCTCGGTTCGAGACCGCTTAACTACCTCTGTTTGCTCCGATTTTCAGCACACACCTTGTTTCCTCTCTTTTGAGGGACACTATGGCCTGAGAGGTCACCTTCGTGGTCGCGCGCCACCTCCGGTGCCTAACAGCCTGTTTTCGGGGCCCCAAGCCGCGTGTTTTGGCCCCCCGAACTCTCGTTTTGCATCGGTTAGGGTCACTACAAGAAAAAACACTTTTGGCGACCACTTTTTTTTTTTTTTTTGTCGCAAATGGTCCACTTTCTGCGAGTAAAATTTAACTTTTAGCGACCACAAGTTTTTGGTCGCAAAAAATCACCTTTTGGCGACCAAAAAAAAAGTTGGTAGCGGAAAGTATACCTATTGGCGACCAAAGGCTTTTTTGGTCGTGGAAGATTATCCTTTGGTGACCAAAAAAAAAAAGTTGGTCGCGGAAAGTATACTATTGGCGACCAAAGGCTTTTTTGGTCGCGGAAGATCACCTTTTGGTGACCAAAAAAACAAGTTGGTCGCGGAAAGTAAACTATTGGCGACCAAAGGCTTTTTTGGTGCGGAAGATCACCTTTTGGCGACCAAAAAAATAAGTTGGTCGCGGAAAGTATACTATTGGCGACCAAAGGCTTTTTTGGTCGCGGAAGATCACCTTTTGGCGACCAAAAAAAAAAAGTTGGTCGTAGAAAGTATACTATTGGTGACCAAAGGCTTTTTTGGTCGCGGAAGATCACCCTTTCGCGACCAAAAAAAAAAGTTGGTCGCGGAAAGTATACTATTGGCGACCAAAGGTTTTTTTGGTCGCGGAAGATTACCCTTTGGCGAAAAAAAAAAAAAAAAATTGGTCGCGGAAAGTTATGGCGGGATAAATTTTTTAAAAAAAGGATACTACTGTAATTACATGCTATTTTTCTGTTTAGGCATTAAAAGTTTTATAAAATAATATATAACTCAAGTTTTATGGGTTATATATTTTTTTTGCCGAATATGAACAAGAAGCATGCTATTGGCAGAGTGGATTGGGTGCATGGTGAGTCCAAGGTTAGGAGTTCAAGTCCCAGGTAGCACAAAAGAATTATTTTTTTTGGGTCAAGGCGTTGACTTTTGGCGACCAACTTATCTTTGGTCGCTAAAAGTTTGCTTTTGACTAATACGAATTGGACTTTCCGCAACCGAAAAAGTTAGTCGCCAATGGTCACTTTTTTTTGTCGCTAAAAATTCCCTTTTCGCTCATATGAATTGGACTTTTCGCGATCAAAAAAGTTGGTCGCGAATGGTCACTTTTAGTGACCAAAGGTTTTTTTGGACGCAGAAAACTATCTGTGACGAGGCTTTAGCGACCAACTCGCGACCAACATATTTTGGTTGCGAAAAGGATTTAGCGACCAAATATGGTACTTTTCGCGACCAAAATGTTGGTCACGAAAAGTGTTTTTTCTTGTAGTGGGTTCATTTTTGGTATGGACCCTATTTTCTTTGTTTGAAAGGTGGTACTATAGTGGGAGACCAGCAATTCTTTTGGAGACCATTTTCTCTCTCCTCCAGCCGGTTTTCTTGACAAAAAGCTGGTTTTCCTCACTTTTGGGCCATAATTTCTGGCCTCCCATACCACCATTGTGTTGTATTCATCTGGGAGGCCACCAATATGGGTAGACTGACCAGTTTTTCTTCCTGACCCTTTTGAACCTTGCTAGAAAGCTGGTTTTTCTCTCTCCTAGGCCACAATTTCTGGTCTCTCACCATACAGCTGTGTTATACTCAGCTGGGAGGCCACCTTCCTAGTATAGCCGACCAGCATTTCACATTGACCCTTTTGAACCCTGGTCGGCCGACCAGGGTAAGTGGTCAGCCGACCACTTGAATAGGTCGGCCTACCTTCTGCTTTTTGGCCTTCTTGAGTGCAACACAACTGTACCAGCTGTGAAGTATTTGACCTATCCTCCGAGATTTTGACCCTCTTGTTTGTCTTCTTAAAGAAGCTTTGTTCTTTTTTTGCTTAGTTTCTAGGAGAAGCTTGACCTTTTGTCCCCTTTGGTCTAGCTTCCTCAAGAAGCTTGACCCTTTTGGTTAGCTTCTTTTAGAAGCTTGCACCCTTTACTTGAGGCTTCTCCAAGAAGCCTTGGCCCTTTGTCTTCTACAAGATAGGCTTTCCTCTCCATTTGCAAGGGTTGAAAAATTTGGTTAAGGCACTTTGCATACAACTCTCCATATCTCTCCATCCCAAGCTCTAAACTCCATCATTCTTGGCCATTTGCACACCAACCCTTAGCACAACACCTCGACCATCCATCCAAACATCTTCGAACTGATTTGCAGAGGTTGAAGGCTCACCATCTTGGTCCAGAAGTTGCTGGAGGTCTTCTCTACAAGCGTAAGTCTCTATTTCCCTCATTTTTGCATTATCTTGCTTCATTCTTTAGCCTTATTTGAAAGCATTTTTGGGTTTCATCTTAAACTAAAAAGTGTCTTATTTTGAGTTCCTCTTGAAGTTTGATTAAGGATACTTTTCTGTTTGAGGTCATCTACCTCTTGTATGCTCTATCCCTCTTTGTAGGCTTATTTTGCTTCCTATCTTAGCCTTGCTTGCAAGCATTTTCAAGATTTGTCATAAACTGAAAAGAGTCTTGTTTTGAGCCCCTCTTGAAGTTTGGTAAAGGGCATTTTTCTATTGGGGGTCATATACCCCCTTGTATGCTTGTTTGCCTC